ATGTTGGCCTGAAAAAACTTTCTTCAATTTCAAAGTGAAAACCTATTTCTTTCTTATTTCTTTGTATTGGATACACAAAGGTTTCCAGTTGAATCATCAAAAAACAGCAGGAGTATGGAGTATGTGTAACTCTAACAAGATCAGGCTGTCCTCACAATCCAACCGACTGTGTATATTCCATGAAGGGTCAAAATAAAGACACACAAACAAATCCTCCCTTCTTTTGATGACAAAACACCACTTACTGTATATTACAACACCAATAATTCCAAAGTTAGATTATTGACATGAACTTTACTCAGGTCTAAACCAGTCCCTGCTGTGTTCTCTGCCACAGGACTCACTGATAAGAAAGGAAAAAAGAAAGCACCAATATCAGCATTCATGCACAGTTTCACATAAACTGGAGTGACCTCTATGAAAGGTAGAGCTGGTGTTTGATTTGCCACCTCTGGGGTCATTTTGTAACATAGCTGATTAATAAGAAGGCAACAGAAACATGTAAATTTTAAACTACATTAAATTTTATTTGTACAATTCACCTTTGTCATTCTTCTCTGAGACTTAATGTATGTTTCATTTTGCTTCAAGAATTTTAGGTAGTTTTGTATTTTTTGTACAATAAAAAAACGGTCTCATTCCAGAAAGATACAGTATATTGGTTCACAGAATATTTCACAATAAGGACTTCATTGGCTCAGAATTGTGATCATAAATTTCAAAATTACAATTATGTCTAAGAATAAAGAAAAATTCTGGAGTTAATTGTGAGAGACTCAGAGTAGAGCCGCTGCACATTCACAGTGAGAGGAGCCAGCTGAGGTGGTTCAGGCATGTCCAACTGGTAGGAGACCCCGGGGAAGACCCAGAACAGKYTRGAGAGATCRGCTGGCTGAGGAATGCCTTGGAATCCTTCTGGAAGAGGTGGCTGGGTGAGGAGAGGTCGGAGCCTCCCTGCTCAAACTGCTGCCCCTGCAACCAAACTCAGAATAAATGGAAGATAATGGATGGATGGATGGATGGATGGATGGATGGATGGATGGATGGATGGATGATTATGAAAAAGTTGCATTCCTAAGTTTTTCTCCATAAACTTTAAAAATGTCTCTGAATGATTAAACAGGTTGTCTGTATATTAGTATCTTGTTCATGTTTTCAAATCTTTTTTCAACAGAAACTGTGAAGTGTAGGCTGAATAGGTTGTGCACTTTGTCTGTCGGACTCGGTACAAAACAGTCTGATATAATATCAAATATTGATACGGTATGAAATGAAAGGATCATCCTTCTTTGAAGGAATGCATACCATCCGCTGTCTTTTATGTTAGAATTTTAAACTGATCTTCTACCTCTTATTCGTAATTGGGTTGCAGAGGCAACAAGTCCAGGAGAGAAACCCAGACATCCCTCTCCCCAGCAACACTTACCAGCTTGTCCTGAGGGCCCCTGAGGTGCTCCCAGGTCAGAGGGGATACATGATCCTTCCAGTGAGTCCTGGGTCTTTCCGGAGGCCTCCTACGAGTGGGACGTGCCCGAAACACCTCTAAAGAGAGGCATCCAGGAGGAATCCTAATCAGATGAACCCCATCAACTGACTCTTTTTCGACATGGAGGAGCAGTGGCTCTACTCTTAGCTCCTCCCGGATGATGGAGTTAATCACTTTATCTCTAAGGCTGAGCCTGGACACCCTGCGAAGGAAGTTCATTTCAGCAGCTTGTTTCCAGGATCTCATTCTTTCTGTCATGATCCATGCCTCATGAGCATAGGTGAGGGTTGCAACAATTGGGAAATGTAACTGTGTTGGTCAAACCTTAAATGACCTTATGTGCTATCTTGTGATATTTCGAGATCTTGTAAGACGTGAGAGCTCTCAGAGATTGTGTTAATGCACACAGGCTTTCACAAGACACCTCAGTCTGAGACATACTTCTTGGTTTGACTTCTGAATGGACTGAGGTGACCAATTGAAAAACAAMAAAAAAAAAARGCTAATTTTTTAAGGGTTATAGCAAAGACAAGCTTGACATTTTCTTGGGACCTTCTTGCAGAACCGGTAATCATGGTCTGAGCTCCTGGCTCGTTACATTTTTGTTTGTCTTATTAAGAGGGCGTTGACACATTTCATAGCAGCTGATGATCTTTCCATGAACAAAATTGCTTTAATATTCCARGATGTACAGAACAGGGTTTGAGTGCAGCCATAGCCAATATCTTTAGGACTGGTTTACATTTTCAAGCAGTCTTCCAGTCACGATAAACTCATCTTTGATGACTTCTGTCATTTCTTTAATCGCTACATATTGAAACAACAGCCGTATGTTTTGTTTTAGATTTGGATAGCTAAAGCAAAAATCTTTTAATTACTCTGATTTTACATTTTTACATTTAGGCTTTAAAAACAGAAAAACAAACAAAAAAACTTTGTGATTTATGATTGTATCACATCATTTTGTATCATCTTGTAGCAGGACTAAGCACAGCTTTCACATCCAAACTGCTTTGAGAGATGTACCGGTAGTGTGAGCCTCCATCTCCAGCATTTACTAAGCATTTATTTTTAATTTCATTATACGTCATRGTTGGTTAGGTTAATGAATTATAATTAGTATAAAACAATATATAAAAACAGCCAGGGATGAAACACATCTTTATATTTACATTACTAAAACATAACAGACTCAGTATATTATGTGAAATATTGTAAAATTTGATTGTAGGAAAGGAAACAGGCTGATTTCTTACACTATTTTGTTTTTTCTCAGTGTTAAAGGGTTCCCCGATTAGTTGTAACATTAGACTTAATATGATAAACATGTACTTTAAGTGTAAAATAAAGAATGTAAAAAATACTGTAGGATGTTCAGTTTTTATCATTTTTAAACTAAAAGTTTAAAAATGTATTACACCGATGGGGCCATTTTATTTACATGCAAAGCATTCTGGGTAAATGATGACATCAACTAGGTAATCTGTGCTGCTAGCAAGCTATATCCACCCTGAAGGTTAATCTTGAACAATATCTGATGATCGACTCTTTTAAATGAAACCAGAGAGCGTTGACAGAGAGGAGAAGGTAGAAACGACTCAACATGTAACTGAAAATATGGATGGAGGACAACAGAGCTGCTTCATGGAAGAAGAACCTCAGCTTAGCCTATTAGCTTTAGCGTTAGCCCCGACGCTATCACCATATACTGTATATGTATTAGCTCAGCGCTACACATTCTCCTCTCGTCACTGAGGTCCTCCATCCACATGACAGAGAGGGGAACACAACAATGACTCAGCCTGCAACTGAAAATATGGATGGAGGACCTCAGTTTAGCTTGTTTGTCGCGCTAGCACCGAGCAAATACATATAAGGAATATAGCATGGGCACTAGCGCAAAGGCTAACAGGCTAAGCTGAGGTTCTTCTTCCATGAAGCAGCTCTGTTGTCCTCATCCATATTTTCAGTTACAGACTGAGTCATTTCTACCTTCTCCTCTCTGTCAACGCTCCCTGGTTTCATTTAAAAGAGTYGATCATCAGATATTGTCCAAGATTAACCTTCAGGGTGGAGATAGCTCACTAGCAGCCTCGCACCGAGGACCTGGTTGATGTCATCATTTACCCAGAATGCTTTGCATGTAAATAAAATGGCTCCGTCCGTGTTAAAATATATTTTAAAAAATTTACGAAACCAAGCATCCTACAGTATTTTTACAGTTTGTATTTTACAGTTAAAATAAATGTTTATCAAATAAAGTTTAATGTTACAACTAATCGTGGATCCCTTTAAGTTCTTCACTGTAAATTCAACATCCTATGTTAAACATGTTGTGTTCAGTCTTCTACCATCACCGATTGTCCCAAATGTACTTCACGTGGTTTGTTCTGAACCCGCTCAGCCTCCCCACTTTGTGGATCACAGCTCTGAGTCTGTCCACAGACGGAGGAGCTGTTCCTTTGCCAGCCATGCCCAGCCTGCGCCCCCTCTCTCTGCCCCCCGCAGCACCCTGTGACCCCACCACCCCTCCTCCCTGCTCTCCTGCATCCCTGCGTGGGGCCCCCGGTCCAGGCTGCCATCCCTCCCTCCCCCAACGCGCCCTGCAGTCTCACCCCGTTCCCACCCAGGCAGAGGGCCTAGCTCTGCCCTACATAGCAGCGAGCACAGCAGGCTGGCGCTGAGAGGAACCCTTTGGGTTTACAAACTGTGTCAGGCCTCGAGACACGTCTGTGATCAACAGCAAGCGCCACACGAGAGGAAAGAAGCACACGACTGCTGCCCAGGGATCAGTGTGATTGATGTTGTCAATATGTGAAATCTGGAATAAATAAGCTGTCTGATATGATCCAAACTGTGGATATTTGCATTAAAAAAAGGGGTCAGAAGTGCAGAAGACGGGAAGTAGACTGAACTCTTATGAGATTTTTTAAAAATATAGTTAAATTACAATTCAAGCAAAAATATGACCTGCTACAGACAAAACCAGCAACATGCGCCGTTACAGGTAAGTACATTTCAGCTGGAAAAAAGTAGGACTGCTCACAAGACTTGTAAGTCATGGCCTTAAAAAAAACTTAGCATCATTTTCTCTGACGGAAAAGCAGGTTTTAATTAAAACTCTTATCCTATGGGATAAGCCCCAGATATGTTTGATGGAGTCAATCACACAAATTATCCGGTGATTAGAATTTAAAAAGGGAAAATGAGTGTGTTTAGTTGAAGCAGAACTGCTGCTATGGAAGCTTGAGGAAGTTTGATAAAACCAGCAGCATTCTTTTAGCGGGATTTCCACACAATGTGGTCATCATTTGGCCTTCAGTCTAAAACCATTTGAATACACACGCAGCAGACAACTACATTCTGATCAGGAACGCGTAGAAAAGCACAACAAGTTTAGATGTTTCACACAACATGAGATGGATAAAAGAGCAGAGGAGTGAAACACGAGCAGGGACAGAAACACACGGATCGATCGATACAYAACGTCAGAGCCGGGGAGCGTCCGTCCTACCATCCACCATGACCTGGCAGAGAAGTCGTAGCACAGCTGCCACCTGAGCCCGGGGTCGCTCTGCCTTTCCCACGCCATTCTGCCTCGCTGCCTGTCCTGAGCCAGAATCCTCTTCCAGGGACTGCTGATAAATATAAAGGTCAATATAACGAGGAAGAAAAATCACCAATCAGGAGGTGCAACCAGGATGCTGCTGCGGTGTGAGTGAAAGAAGGGTATTTTGTGGGTATATACTATATGCAGTGTATCTACTGGTGTGTGTGTGCGTGTGTGTGTGTGTGTGTGTTTGGAGGGAGAAAGGACTCAGAAATGCCACAGAGGCCCCCCTTTCCAAGCAGCTGTGCCTTTCGGTTCACCAGTCCAAAGTGCTCCTGCTGCCATGTGTGAGCCTAGCGAGCCACCAGCTCTGCACCAACGCTCGCACAAACACGGTGAGGTTCACACACGTGCGGCGCCGACGTATCTGCACCGCACGTATATTTCTGAGCGGTTACGAGACGCATTGTCTGTCAGRAGCAGCGATGTGGATCTGCTGTGGTCTGCACTGATATACGTGTTCCAGGGGGCCCCGAGCCAAACTCTGAAGTCTGAGCCAGGTTACTGAGGGGCTTCGGCTGAACGGCCAACATGGCAGGTCAAAACTAAAAAGCATGGTTTATTACATCTGTGCTGTTCCATCAACTTCTTATAATTATATTACCTCAACGTTTTAGTTCAAACTCTATTATACGTTAGTAATATAATAAAACGTTGAAATCTTTTCAGTGAAGTGACTGTTAGAACACCTTCTGTTAGATTTTGTGGCTAATAAACTCATGCAAAACCAGTCAGTGTGGAAAAACCTTTGAAAAAAATTCTGAAAGTGCTTGAAACAGAAACATCTGGTCGTCACACGTGTCTGTATTGTTTTATGGGGGRGATATGACAAGTTATAAAAACCCCTCACTTCCTGTTTGAAGAGAAGTTCCTGAGTTCAGATTCTGTGGGACTCAACTTTGTTTGGGATCATTGTTTTGTTGCGTCGTGACCCAGTTTAGTCCAGGCTTCAGCTGTCGGACAGATGGTCTCAGATTTACCTCTAGAATCTTTTGTTTTACAGAGGAGCTGACGGTCGAGTCAGTCTGCAAGGTACCCAAAGTCCTGTGGCTGTTAAAACAAGCCCAAACCATCAGCCCTCCACCACTGTGCTTAGCAGTTGGGAGGTGTTTGAGTGTTTGTGTGGTTTTCATCAAACATTGTGCTGTGCGTTATAAGTAAATATCTCTACTTTGGTCTCGTTGTCCTGGGCAGATTTGTCCGGAAGTCTTGTGGTTCATTCAGATGAAACGTTTCGAATCAAAAAATGCAGCCTTTTTTTTGCTAAAGACAAAAAAATATCTCCTGGTGTTCCTCCGAAATGAGCCAAACTTGTTTTCTAATTATCCAATGATGAACTTTTACCTTTAAAAGTGACGTTATTAAATTCTTTTTCACATTTAAGTCATTCACTTGGGGTCTATATAAAATGGATCTGCAATGCTTTGGTCTGAATTCCTCCTTGTTGTAACTCCACAACCCGCTCTTTCACCCCTTTAGTGTCTCAGATCAACTTGTTTTGAGGCTTTCTCTAAGTCCAAACAAGGCACCTCCCACCCTGCCTCTCTCGCTTCTAGACAGGTCCATTTTAGTTTGCTATAGGGGTTTATGACTATATAGCAATACAAAACKTTTAACAAATTATTAAAAGATAAAAGAAGACTTGTCGATCCAACCTAACATGTTGGAGCCAGAATCTGACCCAGAGCCAGAGGAGAATGAAGACCACCTAATTTTAATTGGTAAGTCCAGACCTTATTCGGCAGTTTCAATGCATATACTGTAACATAGAAAATGTCACAGAAAACAGAGACAACTGAACAGGTTTCAACATATGACCCAAACAGGAAATAAAGATATCTATGCAGCAATGAGAGAAACTAAATTCAACTTTACTTCACTCCTAGAGACTCCATACAGACAAGGCTCAGAGCTCAGCAGAACAGCGGAGCTGAGAAACCAGACCAGGAGCCAGGTAAAAAGGTAAGTGATTTTATTTTTATTTACAGGTGAGGATCGGGATGTCTTGCTGAAAGAGGAGTGAAGCGCAGAGGTAAGTATTTGTTCTTGAATGAATATTGTCAATGTTGAGAAGTTATTAAAGTTTGTTGTTCTTACAGGTTCTTTGGAGGTGAGCAGCATGGACCAGAGGAGAGTTTCCAAACAGGTGAGAGTTCTTCCGGCAGAGTGGCATTAAAGGAAGATATTCTTGGACTTTGATCTTGATGATTGGTTCCTTGGTTGTAATCTTGGCAGGGAGGAATCCTTGAGCGGTGAGCGACCAGACTGAAGGTTCCGGAAAACTTGACACCTTGGGTACAAGAGAGCATGAAGGTAAATTCTAAGGTTCTTAAGAAAACACTTGTGGTGGCTAGTACTCTACTTAAGAGCGTGGAACATCTTCTTTTCATATATTGGCAGATTACAAACAGCTTCCAGGTGCATACCGCCACCCACTGTACAAGAGTATGCAACTCCATAGCCTCCACAGTCTAAATTCTATTTTTAAATTTTGTATAATGTAAAAATTTAAATAACACTTTCCTAATACAGTGGGTAAAATAAGTGTTGAAAACGTCAACATTTTTCTCAGTAAATATATTACTAGAGGTGCTAATG